ACAATTCCAGAAGTAAATAATTGTTAACATTTGTGATAATTCAAGATATTGGTGATATCGACAAATTGTTGACATTTGTGACGATTCGAAACATTGGTGATATTAAAAAGAAAAAAAAAATAGCATCATTTTATAATCAGCAATTTTGGAGGAAAGTTGTCGCATTATTTTTATCGATTTCTCTCATCCTTGCCATTTTCAGTTGTTATTATTTTAAAATTGTTGTTGTTGTTCAGAAAAAAAGCATTAAATTTTAGTATCAACGAGTGAATAGGAATAAATAAGTTTATCTAATTAATAATATATTTCAGGTAAGGTTGAATCACATAAAGTCGCATTTCATTCTTACTTTTCATAGCATTTATAATCAGTTATGTTCAGAATATATGAGCGCATCTGTATCCAGGACAAATGAGCACCTGCAATCAGATTTATATACTTCCTGTAATCATTTTTCACTTTTTTAGTATTTTGATATTTGCCATTACTGTTTTGTATTAGGAAAAATTAGCCTAATAAGGGAAATATTAGCAACAGCTGCAGCAGCCATCAGATTCATTTATTATAGATTTACGTTTACGTGAAAAAATTGTGCAAGTTCTTCTAGCTTTATTTCATATTTTAATAGCTATGCTACAATTTTTTGCTGACACCTTATCAGCAAGGTGAATTCAGGTGAAATTTTCCGGAATTTCCAGAAATTCTTTATAGATAAATGATTTTTTTTTTGACATTTCTAACAATACTTCAAATGATGATGATGAATTCATTAAATATTCCATTAAAGATACCAAGAATTTCCTGCTTTTGCTGATTCAATAAGTTATTTTGCATCTACAAATATACTTATACTTTCACCTTTCATCACATTACTTATTCCTATAGGTACATTACACATTATTATTTATAACCTTATTTAAATAAACAAAACCTTTGCATTGTTGTATCATTCCAGGAAAAGTTTGATAAGCTTAAAGATTGACTGAAATGTAGAAACTATAAATCAAAAGATTATGAAATAAAATTGATTTGTTATTTTTAAATCAAACATTAAAGTTCAAATTAGAAAGAATAATGATTAGATGTTATGTAGACTAAAATTAAATCAATAACAAAAAATGGCAAAGAAAAAATTTGATGAATAATAAATGAGAAATAGTTAAGGATAGTATCAAAATAATTGATGCGAAATTGCACATTTTTTTCTTTTCCTTTTTTTTTCTTTAATGCATCGTTCGATTATAATAGAAATGCCTGAAGGCATTTTTGGCTTCAGGAATTTTTCCGAAAATCAGTATAGAAGTCTTAATTAAGAATATATTAAATACAGAAAGGGACGAATGATATATCATTAGCATCCTTTTTTGCTGCTTGAAAACATTTTTTCATTAGTTATTCAAGCAATAAATTAATTAATTTGTATAATTGGATCAAATAGAAGAAAAATTCACAAATAAATCATGTTTGTTAATATAATCATAAATAATAATCATATAATTAATTCAATAATAAGTGAACACAGGTGATGATCATATCCATCAAAATCACCTTACCCGATAATATTACAATCTAATCAATGATCATATCCATCAAAATCACCTTACCCGATAATATTACAATCTAATCAATGATCATATTCATCAAAATCACCTTACCCGATAATATTA